GTTACAAAAAAATGCTAAATATAACTTTTGAAAGTACTTGATAATTGAAAAATGGAGAAAAAAGGGAAAATATTATTTAGGTTGAAGATGAGTCGCCGGAAATACTAGTCAGAAGGTATACTTTCGGGCTGAAGCTTCCTCCCTCCCCTAAAATTGTAAACTGTAATTATGTTTTATGGAAACAAATTATCTATTAAAGTATTATTTTTCGTGTAATTAAATTTAATAGGACTTCAAGAATCACTTAAACACTATTTCATATAGGTAGGTTGATATAATAAATAGGATTATTGTTATTTTCATGGTATTAATGATTTGTTAGCAAAACTGTTAAAAATACACTTCAACAATTTTATAATAGCCCAACATTGCCAGAAAATTATTTCTATTAAAAGTAGAGCAGTGAGTGAAAGTTGTGTGTTGTAGATTTTTTTTTATCAAATGGAATCCACTAACATTTTGCACATGAATACATTTCTTTCATTCGAAAAGCTTAGTATTATGTGAACTAAAATCCTGATCACTTGCCCAATAATTTTTTTTTTTAAATTGCAAAATAAAGTTATATTTATATTGTTAATAATAATAAATGCATTATTATATTAAATTATTCATCTTAGTTTTTTTTTCTGTATACCTTTAAACACTAGGGACATTATTAAAAACTATAAAAATACAAAATAAGTATCAAAGTTTAAAAATATAAAATCTATCTCTCGGATTTAGCTAAATATAATTATTCTTCTGCTTATAATAATCTGAGGTGCTTTTTTAAGGAATATGGTTATAATATCATTTATAACCATATTCCTGTTAATATTATTTTACAAATTTTAAGTAAAGAGTTTTTGAGAGGAAATTAATTATAAAATGCATAAATAAATAATAACATCACAATTAAAAAGTAAAAAAAATCATTTATATAATTTGAACATGTAATATATATAATTTCTCTGATCTGTTATATAATATTTTCATATTCATCACCTTTTGAAATGATACCTTCTTTTAAAAACAGATGAGAAGTTCCTTAATGTTTAATAAATTTGCAAACACAATAACAATTAATACATTCACAAGTTTAATTTTCTTTCTACTTAAGAAGTAGATAATTATACTGTTGAATATGTCAGAAATATTTCCCATGATCATTATATTAGATCAGTGCCAGACAATACCATTATTTTTTAAGGAAAAATTATATTATCACAGATTATACAAGACATTATTCTATTTTTTTTTTATTTAGTTAATATGTAGTGAGTATCATTTCTCATTTGAAAGTAATTGTATACATTATAGATTTTTTATTGATTCAAAGTATATATTAACATATAATCGATTTATTTAAAAAAAGCATTGACATTTCATAACCTTAAAATGAATACATTTTTTATGAACTTTCCTCTGGTAAAATAAGAAAATATAGCACTTTTTGTAACTGCATTTGACATATAAAAGGCTTTGTTTACTTACTATATTGTTTTTTCGTAATAAATAAGATCTAAATTCACAAAAACATTTTTAAAAATGTATTCCATGGCTTTTTGCAATAAACCAACGATATTTATATTTAAAAATTATAAGGTATGTTATAAAAAACAATGCAATTTATTTTAAAATAATCTATTTGCCATTAAATTGATTAAAAAACAAAAGATTAAATGAGTTCATCATTATCAAATAACAACAAAATTGAACAAAAGCTTGTTCAATCACCAATATTGCCTAAAGAAAACCATAAATCACAAAAAATGCCAATAGTCATGACTACAAAAAAATTAAGGATTGTTAGTGTTCATCACAATAATACATACCCCTATACATGGGGTATAAAATATTCAATAAAATAAAAATAAACAAATATCTTAAATTATTTTAGTTATAGCTGCCTACATTCCATTTGATTTATGTACATATCTGCACCTTGAAATGAAAAGAGACGATTTCCAAAACTTAGGAATGATTAAATCAGAATAGTATTAATCATTAAATGGACAACGTACTGATCAATATGTAGAAAAATATAAAAATAATATTTTAGAAAAAAATTAATTTAATAAATAAAAGTCAAAAAAGAGTTTACTTAAATTACTCTGATAGTTTATAATTCATTAATGAAAATTTCACCTAATTATTTGTAAATGTTTTTACTTTTAGATATTCATTCCATGTTTATTAATTCATTTTCATCCCGTTCCTAATTTATTCAAAACTGAGCTATATTTTGCTAAGAATAAAATAAAATTAAGTAATATGTTATATAAGTTAAGAAATACGTTATATTAGTGTAAATAAATATATTATAATAATTACAAAATTTCAAATATGAATATTATTAAAAGGTTTGTAATATCTACTTTATTTCATGACAAACAGCAATTTTAGGAATATTTTGAAAGCAATATTTCCATAATATACAATAGTTCAAGTAGCTAATGATTAGAGATATACGATAAATATTGTGTACTTATTTTAAGATACAATAGGGCCTATAAATGAAACAAACTTGTAAAATAGTAAATGATATACATATATCATAAGGCTGATAAACAAGAAAGTATATTGCATCATGATAATACCGCTTCAAAAAATACTAAATGGTTTATCTAAGTTCCTAAACTATCAAATATCAATTCAATAAATTAGAAATTCCTTATTTATAGTCAACATTCATTTTTAACATTTTTTAATGAAAAATTATGCTAGTGAATAAACAAAATATCAAATGATTTTCATTTAAATAAGAAAAATAATTGTATCATATATTAAGCAAATATCATTACATTAATTTTTCAATGTTTCAGCCTACAAATAAATTGCATAAGGAATATAAAACTATTTTTTATAGATCTTGTTTATTCTTCACAGTTGATTCAACGAATTTCTGCTAAGCTAATTTAGTATTTTCATACCAAATTCATATTTAAATCAAATTTGAATTACTTTTTCAAGTTTTTGATTTCCTATTTTTTCACATGAAATATACTAGTCCATGGTACAGACTCCTTCTTATCAAATGAATAATATCTGATTGAAACTTCGTAAATAGCTCCATCTCATTGTAATCTACAAATATTTTATTTATGAAAATTCCTAGTATGGGATCGGTATGAGAAAATTCAATCTGGAGATCGTCAAACTTTGCTTATTTAATTAGGTACTTAAAACTCGTAAATATCCATTTGTTTTCCAATTGAAAGGTAAGATAATTTGAGCACAAACTCGAGAAAAAAAGGTGGCCTTTAAAAATATTGAGGCGTTTGGTGCGACTCCCAAATGTCAAAATAATGAGGTTTTATAGGCAAAATGGCCCAATATGTTGGTAGGTCACCTTTTTTCTCGATTTTGTGATCAAATTATCTTATGATCCAAGTGGAAAGCAAATGGGTATATATGAGTTTTTAGTGCCTAATTAAATAGACAAAGTTTGCCAACCTACAGATTGAAAATGCCCCAATTCCAAGAGTTTTTGTAAATAAAATATTTGTAGGTTACGATAAGATGAAGCCATTCACGAAGTTTCAAGTTGATAATTTGACAAAAAGGGATCTGTACCACAGATTGCATATTTTATTACTGATATTAAAAAAAAAGAATTAGAAAGCTTTTAAGTATGTTCCCAATCTGGAACAATGGTCACTGCTCAATAATCGTTTTATTTCTATGTGAACAGTTTTTAGGAATAATTGACTGCATAATATATTTTTACAGCCCGATTTGGTTAATAAGTTTTTTTGAAGTTAATGAGACAAGGGCTGATGCCGTGATAAAGATGATTCGTTGAATCGACCTAAAGACCATTGCTTCAGTAGTCAGTAATAAATGCCTCTCTTGGACATTGTCATCAAAGGACATTTTTTGGTCTTATTGTTATAAATAGTATCTCTTGCCTTTAATTTAATACTTCAAATCATCTAGATTTTTAATCAAAACTCCTTTTTCTGAGAATAAACATTTTTGCAGAATGATTCCCATACAGACTATAATAATTCTCTGACAGAATATTACAGGACCATAAATTCATCAATAATCAATTCTTTAAAGGAGACTGAAATAATAATGTTGGTTTACTGCATGTATATTCATGCAACTTGCATAAATAGTTGCAATCTAGTCAGATCCAAACAATGTTTTCAATTGGCAACATATCTGGAAGTTGTGCCACTCTTGAAAGAAGGAAAAGTAAAATTTATTCTAGGACATTTAGCCTCTTGAGAATAATAGAAATTAGCTATAGAAGTAACATTTGTCTAGCACAAAACCATAAATAATTAAATTGCAGAGTTATGCAACCTTAAAATTAATATAAGGACAAACAAAAGTAAATAAATGGAATAATCAAATTAAATAAGACAAATAAATATGAATATGTTTAAATATTTAAATTCTTCTTCATCATAGAACACATTGTATTTTTATAACTTTATAGCATTCAAATTATGATGTCTAGATAACTTTTTATAAATTACTCAAATCCTATTTTTAGTTTTAATGTCCTTTTCAAAATAAAATATTCAGATTTATTGAAGGGCTTGGTTTAAAATTTCAAAAAGAGCATCATTATTATTTTAATAAATTATGGAATTATTCCTACCACAAATTTGGTGCAGTAATGATGTATTTTTAAATATATATAATATGGATTATTATTATCAAAATCAACTGGTATATATTTTTTATTTAATAATATTATTCATATCAATATAAATAATATGAAAAAAAACAACAATAATATAACCCACTCTTAATTGTTTTTAATGCTTACTTTTCAATAATAATAGTAAGACATTACTAAAAACAAATTATAACTTCAAAAATAATAATCTTAATTAAATATGATTAACTGGGACAAGTTTTATTGTCTTCTAAACAATTCCACCCCCTTTTCACATTTGAAATTTAGTGTTGTTCACCTGCTACTATAGCGACAAATCAATGGTGGAAGGGGCTGTAGATGTTTTACAAAAGGGACCCTCCAGTCAATAGAAGTTGTCAAAATGACCCAATATACTTTACCTTTTTTATTTCTTAATTTGGGAGGGGAAATGATTTATATACTTGATCAACGCCTGAGGGCACAAAACATTGCAGTAGAAAAGTCAAGAAAAGGTAAGTTTTGAAAATGTTTTATTCACATTATAGTTCCTTGAAATGAGTTTTTTTTTCCTACATTAATGATAAGAAAAATGCATTAGTTCATATAGAGATAAACACTTTATTTTCATATAAAAGCTTGCTTTCCAATTACATTGGGTTGCTATACACACAGCATACTAGCTAATCTGTAGGACAATAAATAAACTTATATATAAATAAGTGGTCAGTATATATGAGTATAATAAACATATATCTATATATATTTTTTTTATAATAAAAAAAAAGTTTTATGATAAAACTTGGGAGTATAAAGAATAATAATTAAAAAGTCTCATGAAATTTTAACACTTATGAAATCATTTTTAGTGTAAAGGCCATTTTAAATACCAAATTAATCTCATGGTATTGAAAAACATATAACAATATAACAAATCAATTCACAATTAAAAGATATTTTTATAAAAAATACTAAATTTTCATTTCATGTAATCATGCCTCATTATAGCAATAGAGCCTAATCAATATTATTAACAACATAAATAATAGTTTAATTTGTAATATAAATAAAAATACACCAAGTTATGAAACATCATAATATTCACACACATTTTTCATTAATAAAAACTTTTCAACATAAAATTTTTATTTAATAGAAATTATATTACTGTTAACATTTTGTTCTATTATTATTGAAAATTTTCAAAACAATTAATTATGCTGTTACTGACATCAAATTAATATATCTTAAAATGAACTACTCTAAGCAGTAGATATTAAAGATATCGAGAAAAAAAAAAATTATTTTCTATTTTGATAAACATCCATCCAGTTTCATAACATTTCTTATTCTAATGTTCTTCAATATATTATTTTTTGAATTTTTACTTCATGGAAAACATTCCCATTGTTCATTTATTAAGTAGAAGATAATACAGCCATAATAAAGTTGTTGATCATAAATAATATTTAATGTTTAAAATAACTATTCCTCAATTTTTGTCTAATATTGTTTATTGATTACAGTATTTATTTATTTATAACAATGGGGGGCTCCTCAACCTCTTATGGGTCATTTTACCCAGTATTTATATTACATCAGATGCAATTTAACAATCAATTTGAAAGTACAATATATTTGAAACATTAAAATTTCCAAAAAGTTGTAAGTAAAAATTAAATTTTGTTATATAGGTGCGTTATTTAAAAAAATATAAACAATTTTTTTGCCAATTTGGTGATGTTTTTCAAAATTTCAGTAATATTATTCTCCAATTCCACTGCATTTCGTTATGATTCATATGCATAACATTCAGTCAAAATGTGCCTGACTGTTAAATTGACCCAGCAGTAGAGAGACTGTGGGGGCGTTCCCTTAGGTGTCATTAGATGCTCATGAGTTAGCTGTGAGTGTCCGATTTGGAGCATTGTCAGGATTATTATTTCTCTTCTGTTCAACTGGAGGTCCGCTCAACTTGGAACTACAGAGGACGTAAATTTTTATGTTATTTTTTTCAAATGTAAATGTTTATTGCAGTTGAGACTACTGACGGTATGGTTTGTTGCAAACAGTTCTACATGGTAGGAAGTGCAATATGGAGGTAATGGGAACATGAAGTAGTACTTTATAATAATAGTTTGTATGAGAATATTTTAAATAATTATATGTATTTATTTCATGAGTTGATAACTTTTAAGATTTTTATTTTTCTTCATAATTTAATAGGAAGTCAAAAAAGTTTTTCTTTGAAGTTTTAGGAAAAACATATCTTCCAATATATCAATTTATTGACTTGTAAATGTTTTGTGGCTTATCGAAATTTCCCGAATATCACAATAAAATAATATAATATTGTATGTCTTTAGCGATTATGCAAATATTAAAAATTACTAAAAGTAACCTCTCCCTTTTTAAGATTTTTATGTATGCTTTTTATGACTTCTAAATATATATGAGTTCATGAAATTTATCCTGAAATGATGATTATTCTCAGTGTTTTATGCCACTACAATTTGATGTTTATTGAGCATGAACGCAATCCAACAGCGTAATTTGATCCAAAACTGATCAAACCTGATTTAATTGGTTTTGGAATAAATTCATTCATCTCATGAAAATTTATTATCAAAATTGTCATTGAAAAAGATCAGTGAATGAAAAATTGGGAAATGGATTAAGCTGGTTTCAAAATCCTAAATCTCATTAATATTACATATTGATATTAAAATTCAAAAATCAAAAATATTTTTACTTTTATTTAGCAAAAATTTTAATTTAATTTGGTTCATACTCTTCCAGACTCCTTATGACTAAAAAAAATTTTAAAATCAATATTTGTCTTTCTTCTTTTTTTTTTAAATTTTATAAAGGCTTCAGCCACTGCTTCAGACACCCATAACTAATTATTTTAATACAACTTAATCATTTTATTTTATTGTTTAAAGTTTTAGACGATCTGGTTAGAATCATGTTCAATCCACGTTTTATGGAAGAACTCTTTAAACCGCAAGAGATATACAATAAGGCAGCTCTGAAGGCACTATTCCACGATCTTGCACATGCTTCAATAATGCGGCTTAACGAGACAAGCATGAACAAACTTTATGATCTGATGACGATGGTTTTCAAATGGCAAATATTTTCTTCTTCTCATCCGAGGGAATTGATTCTCATAACGCTCAATCATTTGGACTCGATGAGGTCATTAGTGTCCTGCTCATTGATACTCAAGCAGCTTGATACAGCTTATTTCATGTTTATTAAGGTATTTATGTGATTTTTATTCATATATTACAATTTATAATCAATCAAATGTTATTGACTCGTATACTTCACTGAAGCTGAAATGGATACAATTTTAATCCACAAAATGAGTTAAAGAAGGATTTGAATGGGATTGGTGTTTAATATTTTCAACAAAAAAATATGAAATAGAATGCATTTCTATTTTTAAAGAATAACAAAGCTATAATAATGTTTATTTTTTACCAATTTAATTTTATTATTATTTTGTCTCATTTAGTTATTTATTATTATTTACTGGAGTAAAATAATCCATTTGCAGAGTATTAACTAATCAAAATATATTGTATTATTTTGTATATAAAACAAATATTTTGTTCACTTAATTTGAGTTTAACCATTTGGCCCATAGACGTACGGACAAATGACCTGTGGGGAATTACAAAGGGTGAGGTATTCATTACTCAACTTTTTACAAGATGTGAGAGTAAGAGTATCACTGTTACTGCGCCAAAGATTACAGAATACCGATGGGAGTTTCGTTATACCATTAAATCTGCAACTTTTTCATGGTAATATTTTACTACATCATTGAGTATGAAAAAAACATAGGAGAACATTCAATATTTAGAAAATAATTCTTTTAGGCTGCGAAACTCCAGGCCAGATAAGAGTTTACTCCAAAGAAGGCATACCGATTGATTTGATCAGTTTCAATCCAGGTGGAAAATATGTAGTTGCTGAACAACCAGGTTCAACTGAACTTAGGGGTTTGAGGAATACATCTCTTGGAACTAACATGTAAGTATACACTATGTGATGATTGAAATAGAATTTTACATGAATAACCGATAGGCTATGATAGCCTCATTAATCAATTGTAACATCCCTCTTATATTTGTAACTCGTAATAATACCTCGTGGAAGATCACTTTATACCGTTGAGATACTTCCAAAAGAAACAAGAGGTTATTAAATAATAAACAAAATTATAAGAGTATTAATTTATTAAACTAAACTTTATACTTATTTTATCTCAATAATTTACTGACAATCAGATCAAAACACTCAGACAAACTAAAATTAACTATACAAAACACTGTTTGATTTTATAAAGTCAAATATGGTTTGGCAAGCATTTTTCTATAGATACTGTTTATTCCTTTGTTGCACTAAATTCATTTATCTTCAAATCCTTTCCAATATTCTGCCAAACACAACTTCCAAAATGGTGACACTTTCTTCTACTCAACTCAAGATCCTCTCTCTTTTAGTTCCAAACAACTTGTCTCTCTGCCAAACAACTTCCAAGATGGTAATACTATGACTAGGTTTTTCCCATTGGAGCCAGTATCCCTTCTCCTATCCTCTCTTCACCCCAGCCAAACATCAACTCTTTTGTGCCATCCCCTCTTTGAGATTTTCCTTTTTGAGGAAATTACAGAGCAGCTATTTTCTTTTCCCTGAACTAGTAGAACTAGATTAGCTTGCTTTTTAACTGTTACATTAATTTATTAAATCATTTTTAACAACTGTCAATTAAGGTGTATATTACACAATATAATGTTTATAAATATATTTTTCAAACTTTGGTTCCACTAATAAAACGAAAATAGCCACATTTCAATGAAACAACAGCATCAACACTCTAAAATAATGTAATATCGACAGTTTCCTAAAGTTCAAACATCAGTTCACTCACAGAAAACAAGATTCTACATTTCTTACCTTAATATTCCTTTCTATCAGTTGTGAATTCAGTATTGAATTTTTGGTAGGAGGGATTATTTTATTTATTTTTTTAATAACGGTATTCACTGTAAGAAAAATAAAAAATATATAAATCAATGTATAATTTTTTTTTAAGGCCTGTTTAAAAAACAATAATTACAGAAACAATAACATTTTTAGAGCTAAATTTTGTATCCTTTCATTTTGTCATGTCATGGACCATTATTTTGGACCTTTTTTATTTCATTACAATCATATTTATTCTTGAGATTTTAGTTTTTGTTGTTTACTTATTTTCACTGAAGATACGGTATATATTGTATGAATATTTGTTAATATAGTTTTTGGCTAGATATGGTTTCTGTTAATTTACATGCTTGTTATTCTTAAGGGACCTTGTCCCAAAATAAAGTTTATTTCTATCTGTATTCAAGTCTATAGAAATAGAAATGAACTACCAACTGTATCTTAACTACTATCCAAGTAAACATGAAGAATCTTTAATGTAGCAATGTAAAATATACTGTTGGAACAGAAATCTATTTTTTGTGATATTATCCTCTGGATAGCCTTTTTTGAACTAATGTTAGAATGGCTGAACAAGTTTTGAGAGAGAGATTCACTAAGGGCCACCGATAATAAAAAATCTAAAAGATTGAACATTATGATCTTGGGAAGTTTCTAAGACGAATAGAGAAAAGTTTCTTTTATGTAAACAATTATCAAAAAAACAAGATAGAGACATTACAGGGTGAATAACATACTTTTTCTACTGACTCAATGACCACACTAAGTTGAATCTTGACCTGCAGTTCGCTGTTGTTGATCGCCTGTTTTCTCTATACAGTGCTGCTGTCTTCCCATTACAGACATCAAGTATAGATTGGGCATCTGAAGTTGTCTACCTTTGCGACAAACTCCAAACATTTGCTCCTGGGACATTTTGATAGGAACCTCTTCGTCTCCCTTCTACTCCATGTATAGGGTGTACCAACCCATCAATCCAACATGTTCAGCCCAGAATAGCCTTTCTAGCCTGATGTGTTGGATTACATGCTGAAGAATGATTACGATTTGTTTATATTCTGATTTTCATCCCGATTAATTATTATGATAAAAAGCTATAAAAATGACTTTATTGTTTTCACTCAGAATATTATCCAAAAAATTAGGAAAGATTTTTAACAACTTAATGTTTATTATGAAAATTTAAGTTATTCACAGTATCAGTAATTTATAAATGTATCCATACCTCTACAATTAATAATTATTTTTAAATACTTGTAGTTATTTAATTTTAATTGCAAAAGTAATACGCAACAGAAGAATTCATATATAAAAGCTGATTTCATTTAAATCAAATTGGATGTCTGCTATTTATTTTGTTGTTAATTAATTAGCAACTAATGTTGTCATAACTAAGAATACATTAAATTATTTTTTAATGATGTAGAGATGGTTGACCATAGATATAATATGAGAAGGAGTTAGTCAGGGGTGCAGTCAAATAAATACTAAATTAAAATATAGTAATTATTTTTATTTTTTGCCGACGTTTCGACCCACTTTGCAGGTTGTCTTCAGGGCTACAAAAGATACAAAACATATTGAGAATAAAAATTAAATATAAGTAGATATAAAATAAGAAGAAGTAAGAATATAAATAAGAAAATAATACAGATATAAAAGATGATATCACCCACTATATCTCTGATATCATCTTTTATTTCTGTATCTGACTTCTTCTTATTTATATTTACTTATATTTATTTTTTATTTTCAACATGTTTTGTATCTTTTGTAGCCCTGAAGACGACCTGCAAAGTGGGTCGAAACATTTGCAAAAAATAAAAATAATTACTATATTTTAATTTAGTATTTATTTGACCGCACCCCCGACTAACTCCTTCTTATATAAATTATTTTTTATTTATTTTTTAAATTTTAATTATAAGGCATATAATTTTTCTAATATAAAGTTGTAAGATTTGGTACCAATTGTAGTTACAGTGCTTCTCGAACAGAATCAGATAATACACTGGCTGGATACGAGGGTCATGAAAGCTACAGGAAAGAGATTAACTTACTAGTAGCTCAGCTAGGAGGAGACAGCACTAAAATTCCAGACGAAACATTTTCGCTACATAATTCCTTATTCAGCACAATCGAAGAAGTTACATCAAATGATGAGTAAGAAAATAATAAGAATTACATTCATCATGATTTTTTTGTATTTATTTATTCATTAATTTTCTTCTCTAGACAACCTACATTAGTACCAGAAACGCCATCGATAGAGCCGCAGAAACAGGAAGCTGTGGATACAACCAATGCCCACACAGAAGCTCTGAGCAAAATTTTAGCAGAGATGCAGCCATCAATTCCTAAAGATCAATCAGAATTTGATTTATTAGATCTTATGGATGATCTTAATTAGATTTAATTAGCACTGCTAACAAATGTATGTGATATGTATTTGTACATGTTCCTGGAAAAGAAAATGTTTAAGTAGTTATAAAAAAAAACAGGTCATATAATATATTTAAATATTTTTACCTAGTAATATAAACGATATAGATGTTTTATATGTTTGGCTTAGTACACAGCTAGTTGTCAAATGCTTATTGTTATAATATATCTCTAATCACAATGAATAAGTAAGTCTAAAGTCCATTTAAAGGAACATGGCTTCTGAGACAGCCTAAGTTTAAAAAAATGAAATTACCTGGAAACAATGACCTGTTTTAACCTAGAAGACTTTTCCAAATTAGCCACTGGTAATTAATGAAGTATACATGGTTTGATAACCTACTTCAAAGAGAATATAGCACCCAGAGACAAAAATATCAAATTCATATCTACCTTTCATAAAAGCTGCAATATTTGCCAAATTACAAGACAAATTAAATAAATATATATATACATGAAAATTTACTACTAAAAATACAAGTAAACGTAAATTGGAAAGTACAGACTTGAAGAGAAACTACCCATTGGTAGCACTCAATAACAATTTTATATTAGGTCCTGAGGCCATCTTCTTTTCAGATGGCTAAGAGGATGCAATGTTAGAAATAAGTGGATACGATAGGTCTGGCATTTATTATGGAAAGATAAGTTTCTGGATTGGGCCAAGTTGTTAACATATGAAACATTAAGGTCATTCTGGATAATTTTATTTGTGATAAAGTGGGGAGCATTGAGGATTTTGGATTTTAAGAATATGATTCAACAGAAATTTGATGGCTTAGTTGAGCCCCCAAGCTCAAATATATAAGTCCAAATAGGCCTTATTACAGTCAAGTAAATAAGTCTTTTATAGTTTATTGGAAGTTAGAGTATTAAGGCAAAATTTAAATCATGGATGGTAATGGTATATTAAATTGCTACCAAAATATGTTGGTATAATTGTCAAGTTACTTCAGTTTTTAGACTTGCTTACTTATTCCCTGTGACTGGAATTTTTTTTTATGTTAAAATTGAAAAAAAATAAAAATAAGTTTACCTATTTTTTTCATTCTTTTTAGTCTAAAACTTGATATATAATGCCTATTAAAAATCTGGTTTCAGAATCCTCATTAGCAAGGCAGATAAACAGCTATTATAGACAACAAAAGCTATATATGTTGCCAATGTTAAAATTAAAAGGCTATATCTAAATAAAAATTTCAAAAAATTTCTAATAAATATTTTAAATGTATCTTTAGTCTTAGATCACATATTTCATTTGTGAAATTTAATTAATTTTTAGTCCTAAAAAAAGTACTTGATATAGAAACTTGAAGAAAATTCAGTAATTTTCTTTAGTGAAAAAGAAATTAAATATGTACTTCAAAGAAATAAAAAATTAGCTTCTATTTTTTTTATTGTAAATAAATAAAACTAGCTTCATTACTTTGTAGGCATAAAAAAAAAAAACTAGAATTAATTTTTCGAATTTCTATATTATTTTATTATTGAAAACTAAATAAAATGCTTTTTCGTTTCTTTGAGTGAAGCGCTTATTCCTGCTCCTCAAAAACCTAAATTATGTAGATAGGTGCCACTAAATGACACTGTTAATCAAATAGTTATGAAATTATGAAATTCAATTACTTGCTAAATAAAAAAAATTAATGTCAAAAACATTTCTTACAGAAACACTACAAAATTAATAGTGATAACTTCAATACTCAAGTGTATTAATGAGAAATAATTTTAATTAAATAATTATTCTATCTATAATTATCCATTCACAGAGAAATATTTATATAGGTCTCCTGTTGGCCACTCGATGGTACTTTCTTTCAATTTAGAATCAAGTAAATTTATATTTCATGTCCTGATAATAAACATAATTCATCCATTTACTGATATCCTAAAAATTATTAATCAGTAGGTTTATCCATTAACCTCTGGTAAAATAGAGCAGGATTAATTATTACGATATTAATATCTGGAAATCCAACAATGGTTAGAACAAGGTTTTGATTAGCAATAATTTTAATTAAAAAATATATGAAAGAATTTTTAAGTCAATTTAAAAAATATTATTAATAATATCTATGTTGTTATATAGTAATGTAGAAAATATTGATATTTGTAGTATTACAATTATTAAATAAGGACATAAAATTAAGTATAAAATTTGAAAAATTTATAAGTACAAACACATCAATAAATATTTAGTGAAACAATATAAATATTCTTTTTAACCCAATTACTCCTAATTAATATTTTAACTGAGCCTTTCAGTTGACAGAACGACTAACTCCATTTTCAACTTTTTTGATTATTAATTTTAGTGATATTTCTATTGAGGAAATGTATACTTTTATTCACAGTTATACATTTCAACGCTGCAATCATCTACTCTGGAATCAACTTACTCACTGTCTGTAAAGGTATTAAAAATTTTCCAACTAGAAATATCGCTAAAATGACTACTCAAAAATGTTAAAATTGTAGTTAGTTATCCTTTCAACTGAAACGCTCATATTTTAGCTCAATATAACTACTGGCAAATTTTGGTGAAGATAATTCACAGACATAACAAAGTTCTTCCAAGCTTTGTCATTATTAAGACGAGAGGGGAATTGGTTTCCCTACTCTCTGCCATAAAATAAAAATGTCTCCATCCCAAATATTAAGGTTCTTTTACATACTTAAGTTTCTTGAATGAACTCATTTTGGTCGAGAAAACTATATATGACCTAACTATAGATGCACTCCTTTTGTTCAGTTAACATATTATTCTTCAAAACAAGCTGTATATACTGCCATATTTCTATTACATTATTGTAAGTGTAAGTATGTATTTTTTTTCATAATAAAAATGTTGGGATGCCCCACGAGCAAATTTTAAAATTGGTTTAAGTGATTAAGGATAGATCATCTCTGTACATTACGTTAGTTATGTAAGCTTTGCTCTTGAGATTTACTATTACTTCTTTAAATATCTCCCTATATTTACAAGACAATTTATAAATGTAATTCAATTAATGAAAATGGTAATAATTTGAAGTAAAGTTGTAAGGTAAGGTTATTTTTCCGACATTTCTATTTGCGAAATATTTTAACAATAATCCCAACTTTGTTTAACGAACCTAATGATGTAAAAGGTTCTATAAAGTCGGTGATGATCCCACCTGGTGGTTGAAAACCCAAATACTTAACTACAATTTCTTGGAAAAAACTTTGGTCGAAAGACTCGACCATGTAAAATGACCTTTATATAAGATAATTAATCTAAAATTAATTATAATGAATATTATTATTCATTATTCATTATTATTATTCATAAGATTAGTGCAGAAAACTATACATTTTTTTAAAAAAATGGAGTTTGACAATTAAAAATGACCTTCCCCAGTTGTTAACCTGGAACTTATGCTATTCAATGAAATTTAAAATATAATACAACAAAAAAATTTATGTTTATTTTATTTAAAAAAAAAAAAAAGACTCCAAAATGACATCAGATAAAAATCTAATCAAGATTTCAATTTAATATAGGTATTGGCCGTGTATTATCTCCAAATATGATGCTTCTGAAAGAATAAAAAAATATTATAAAATGAATGACCTTGAATATTTATAACACAAACATAATAATTTTATAAAGAAACAAAATATTTGTTGTATATTCTACAAAAATTAAATAATAACAATTATTTTGATTTTTCATATTAATTTTCTTGTTTTAGTTTTGTAAACGTGAAATTATAACATTTAAAAAATATATAAAATAATGATTTTCTGTAGTAAATAATGTTGTATATATGAAATTATATTATTTGAAAACAAAATATAAAATTTTATATAAATCTATACATATATAAATGAATGTGTCTGTCCTTTATGCATTACTAAATCATTCATCCAATCGTCATGAAACTTTAGGAAGTAGTTGCGCACACTCCCACGAAGGTTTCTGGCATAGTACATCCATCCTACTATAATTTTATATGTGTAAAAAAATATCGCTATAGACTGTCACGTCAAAACGGCTGTAATGATTTTAACGAAACTTGGCCAAAGTCATCCCCTTAAAACTCTTATGATTTATGTCTATAACACGCTTTCCTGAAAACAAGCTGCAAAAATGTTACGACAAATTCAAAATTTTATTTGCCAATAACTGAAAAAGTACATAATTTTTTATGGATAATACTCATATTTATTTGAAAGCTTCTTGAATACCCTACAAAATAAGAAAAAATGTCATCGAAATAAATAAGAATTATCGCTGAAATCAAACAATTTGTAGCAGGCGTAGGAGTAAAGTGGGTTCAAATATTTTTTTAAGGAGAAACAAAGTTGAGATTTGTATTTCGTACCTTGATAAATCCTCAAATACCAATTTTCACTGGAATCGAAAAATGATTTTTTTTTTTGTCTCAAATTTTCATCATAACTTAATCATGGCTCAGCCTATACAAAGGAAAATAAGCAGGGATTTAGGGCCATGTGAACTGCACTAAATGCAACAAACCATAACTCCTCTATTACTAGAACAGGAGATAAAAAATAAAAACACATTATGAGATTATCTTTATTTATTCCTTGTGAAGGTGTTTAATATAAAAGTTTTTAATATGGTTTTGAAGACCAAAAACTCGGCTTTCCAACGGTTATTGAATCATCGAATTAGAAGAAAATTCTGAGGAGTTATGAATTATTTAGCGAACGGTGGGGAAAAAAGATTTCCATAGACAGTGAATTGGTAATCATAGCAATCAGATTAACATCTGTCTCTTTATCTTCTCTTCTATATATGTATAAAAAATGAATGTATGTCTGTTTGTCCTTTAATATTAAAATTGGACGATTCGTTGCAGATATAGAGTTTTAAACATTTACTACTGTTTCGTCAACAAAGGCCTTTTCCTTCCTTTTTTTTTTTTTTTTTTGGTTATTGATTAATCAAAAATTTTATAATTACTGAAGTAATTGAGATTATCATTTGAAGAAGTGAAATGATCCTCCTTATGTAGGTCAATACTGTTACACGCTCTTTATATTCAAATTTATTTTTTCCCCCCAAAGTATCCAGCAAGTAGTATAATACATCTCAAATATTTGATTTGCTATTATTTATAAATAGATAACCCTTAAGTAATAATGATCACAGTTTATGTTCTTGATTCCTTTTTTATAAATCAGTTTTTCATCGATTTCAATTTATTTTATTTTTTAATAAATTATTAAGTCTGTGCCATTTGCAGTAAGGTTTCTTTTGCGAGTAAGGTTTATTTTCCTACTACAAGTTTTATAACTCCATATTTAATCAAGATGTTAAGAATTTTTTTCTCAACTTTTTTAAAATGACAGATGTTCTTTGATATTAAGGCATTCATATGTGCTTCCTATTTTCTTTCTTTTCCATTTTGCCATACTGAGCCATAGCAGTGCATGGCTAGTTAAAGCTAGTAAATTATAAAAATCTTGACAGTATACTTCTTCTTCTTTGTCTTCTTCACAATGTATTTCTAGTGTCGAGAAGCCTCTATCCAACGCAGCCACTCTTTCCGGTTTCTGCTCAACTGCTTCATTTGGTTGAAGGATTTGTCTCTTCTACCTCTGATCCACTGCATGAACTTCTGATACGAAACTCTGGGACGCCCTCGTGGTCTCTTCTCTGTGGGTTGAGCCTCTATACCTTTATAGGGTCCATGTCCTTGTCCATGCGGCAGAAATGGACAAACCACTTTAGTAGTCTGTTCTCCAAAGTGGTTTTGAGTTCAGGTTTGGTTATAGTTTCGTTTCTAATGCGATCCCTCCTAGTTTTTTCCCACCGATCTACGTATGAACCTCATTTCCGCTGCTGTTATGCAACTGCAATGTAACAACATACATAGGATACATAATTAATAAGTAATTGCAAATGTTTCAAAAGATTCCAATTGATAATACAAAAGAAAACCAATAAAATACGAAGAGGAAAAATAAAATAAATGATTTTTGAACATATTTATTATAAAAACAAACAAAACAAAACAAACAATAACAATTCTTGATGTTGATTAGAGTTATTACAAACTATATAAATTTATTGTTAATGATTCACATCAAGAGTTGGTTATTATCACAGTGCATTTCAAAAATATATTTTTAGAAAAATAATATATATTGTTCAAGTACAAGAATTATAAAATATCAACAGTATCATTCAAAATAATAGTGAACCTAATTACATAGCACATAGCAGTGTAAAGCTAAATAATATTACATGAAATATAGTTTTATTGTGTATTAACATAAATTCTCTTAAACCTTAAAATAATGCGATAACTTCGAAATATTAAATAAAATTACATAAATCTCTTAAAAAATAATAATAATAAAATTATATATAGCCATATTTAAAGAAATTTAATCAGTATATATTTCAACTATAAATAAAAAAAAATCTTGACTATGTTTAGCCATAACATCACAGAAATAACACATCTTAAGATGTGAAAGTAATTTTAGTGAAAGATCTGTGAACCTCTGATACCAATGAAGAGATTGTCTCAGCTAACATCCGTTACTTTAACATAGTGGTACATGTAGCTTGAACAGTTCAAAAAAAGGCACATGGAAAATTGGTGCTAACATGCAGTTCTTATCAGCTATAAGATACAAAAAAAGGAAAGAAATTTTTCCTTTTTAAAAAAAAATTTACTATTTAACTACAATGATTAAGCACCAAAGATCAGCAAAATTTCTCAAATTCTTACTTTTAAGTAATAAAGTAAATAACTTACTGAAATAAGTAAGTTATAGAATTAATTCTGTAAACAGCTTAATTAAGAGATTGAATCGACAGAGAAATGAAATCACTGTATATTCAGATAAATACAGAATGTAAATAAATAACTAATAGCCATTTAGTTAGCGATAATTTTATAATGGATTATATTTGCAGTCGATCGAATAATTAAAATGTTTTTTTCAATACAATGGATTTTTTAATAAAATTTTGTATATTTTATCATTATTTAACTGATTTTGAATCTCTTTCCCAAGCCTTCTGATTTAAATGATATAAGATTAATTAAATTTTATATTATGTATTTCTTTTTTAATTGTTCTTAAAAATAATTAAAATTAAATTGTTAAGTAATTCAAAACTAAATATAGAAGACATAAAAATATGCCTGAAGCCTGATAATAACTAAATAAAAGATCTACATCATCAAGACAGTATTACGTTATAAATATATCTCTGTAAAAAAATAAAAAATTTACAACCTAAAATCCAAAATGTATTTGACGCCGGCAAAGCCCTTCGAAGTAGCTGTATTTTCAAGGGCTTCTTTGTAGCTTTCGAACGGAACCAACTTATGAGCAGGAGCTTTGATTTTCCCAGATCTCATCAAGTCCATTATTTCATCGAACATTTTCCTCCTTGCTTCATTATGGCGATTGACAGACGTCCATCTTGTCATCCAATAACCTTTAGCAGTTATATCCTGAAATATAAAACAAAAAAGTTATTGTTGTTGGGAAAAGACATCTATGAATAGAAAATTCGTATCTTTTTTTTTAAATAATTTTTTTTCTATTGGCATTACAGATCTTGTAGATATTTTACAGCCTTCTTCATCTCTGCTTATCTTGGGCTATTTCTTTCCAGTAATCTGCATGCAGCTCTATTGCATCTTTGTTGATTCAATCTATCCATCTGGTTTTTGGCCTTCTACATGGTCTTTTGCCTAATATTGAGGCCTTCATTATCATGAAGAGGCTTCCAGATTGATTGCTCCGAGCTACGTGCCCACCCATCTTAATCTCCATGCCTTCATAACATGGGATATTGATTGACCAGTTACTCAAAGCAGCTCTTTATTTGTATTTCTTCTCCATGTGTTAGTATTCTGATCCCAGATCGCTCCAGTCATCTTGAGGAGGACTTTTATCTAAAATCTTTCAATACTTACTTTTAGGACAATGGTTAGTGTCCAGGTCACACAGCCATACATTTGAACTGGCTTTATCATGGTGTTGTACACCCTTAATTTGAGATTTTCAGGATCTCAATACCTTTGAAAGGGAGAAGAAAGCTCTGTTTGATCTTGTTATACGCTGGTCTATTTCCGCCCTTCGGTCATTCATTGAGGTTATTGTGGATCTGAGGTATTTGAATTTATCTACTCTCGGGAACAATTTCTCTTAAATACTGATACTGTAATTGGTGTAGAATTTCCAGCTTATTATCTTGAGACGAATTTATGATAAATTCATCTCAAGATAATAAGCATCATAAATGAAGAACAAAAAATATATCAAGAGGAAAAGCTTTTAGTGAAGAAAAAAATTATTGAAATAGTGAAGACAATGCCGAAAGATATCAGGGAACACTGTTTCTAATAAATGGAAATATACATGAAATAGTCTGATGTTTGGATCGTAAGTTCAATAAAAAAAAAAAAAAATGTTTTAATATTGCATAAACATTTTGAAAACATCAATTATATAATAAAGAACAAATATATTGTTATCACACATTCTAAAAATAGTTAGTCCATTTAATTAATTGAAAAATAAGTTCACCTTAAAAATTAAAAGAGACGTAGGAATTATGACAGGTTCTCGAGACATCCCTCCATAAGTGACTATTACACCTTTTGGAGCCAATTTTCTCATCAACTCACTGGCACTCTTTCCACCAACACAGTTCAAAGCAAGCTTTGGAGCGGGCACTTCTTTTGATTTAATCAGTTCAGTTGTCCTAAATTATAATACAAAAATTGATTTTGTATTTTAAGTCAAATAATAATTGTAGCTACATAAAATAATTATGAAGAAAATTCAAGCTTTAATGCTTGAATGAATATTAGGTTTAGCTATTCTAAATAAATCATACAGCAGTTATCTCAAGGGATGTTTCATAACTTTCACATAGTAAATAGTTTCTTGTTTACTCCATAATGAATTTAAAGAGTAGCCATCAGAACTCTAAACAATTTATGAGCACAAATTGATATAAACTTTGCCATCATAAATTAAATTGTCTTTACTTGAGCAAGTTTGAAATCTGCTAAGAAAAGAACTCTAGCATTAATTCTCTGCCGCCTCCCCTTGGCCTAAGGAAAACATGTACACCTGAAAAGACAAGGAAGGAGAAGAAAAAAAAGTGCCTTACTCACTGAAATACTCCAATCCTTTAAATAGGGTTATAATAGTATCCATTAATCTTATTACAATTCAAGAATTCCAATAAATATTTCACATAATCCATTTCTAGCATTAAGTACAAAAAAACGTTACCAAAAAAATTTACAGTTCTTAAAAACGTTATTATAATAGTTTCATCTCAATAAATTATTATTTTATTATTGTATGAAAATGAATAAGGAAACTATAATTTTTTTGGTAAAGTACTGAAAACTAGATTAACATAACATAAAGTGTGTACATATCTTATTTTGTAAGATATGTAAAATTACCTCAACTCCTCTTCAGTTAGAACATATGAGGCCCCTAGTCCAGTAAGATGCTCCTTAAGTTTATCGATGTCTGGACGACTACGTACAATATTAATCGATTTAAGCCCCCAAGCTTTACAAAACTGTATCACATTTTGTCCAGCAGCACTGTTTCCACCATTTTGAATTACGGAATCTCCTGGCTGCAAATCTACAAAGTCTTTCAACATCCGATAAGCTGTACTCGTATTAGATGCTATTCCAGCTACCTCCACTAATGGTACATTATTAGGGATCTAAAAAATAAAAAATAAATGAATAATTTTATATAAAAAAAAAAGGTTATTAAAATAAATAAAAAAACAAATTTTCTTACTTTATAAACCAAGTCAGCTTTGACAACAGTATGCGACCTCCAGGTTCCAAAATTTTCAACATTTGGTATCACAATATCACCTACTGTTAAATCTTTCACTTTATTTCCAACCTCTACAATTTTTCCGACCCCTTCATGACCAGGCACACCAGGTAGTTCTGGTTTAACAGGGTATGTTCCCTGAATGGTATTGATATCAGCTGGGTTGATTGATGCGACTAACATTTGCACAAGTACCTGTAACATTAACACGTATTGATTTTAAAACAAAAGACTGAGGAAACTTATGAATAATCTGTCTTTCTTCCGACAGACTTGAAATTCTTCTCAGTCCTGTGTGGACTATGGAAATTAATCAGATAATTTATTTTATTAAGTTAGAATTATCTTACTTAACTTAAGATTTGTGATTCCATTTTAAAATAAGAAATATCTTTGTGACCTAGATATTTGTTTGAAAGTAAAATTAACTGGTATCAGTTCCAAAGTGCTGTCATAATGATGCAGCTGGGTACAAGATTACATGGATCATAATGTTTATGAAACCCCAAGGAATGCCAGAAGTAACAGAGTATTGACAATCATGTTTATATGCAATAGAATCATTAGATTAGATAGCATTCCTCTTATTTTAAGATATGGTTCATTTATGAATAATAGAGACTTCTACCATAGAACCAATTAAAAATAACAGTATAAGCTTTTTTATATATTTTTTCAAATTCGTGCAGAAGAAATAGATAAAATAAATAACACAAATAAAATTAACAACAATAAAAAAAAAAATAGAAAGAAAAGCGAGCAGGAGAGAACTAATTGCAGATTAGAGTTAATAATTCATCACTATTTTATTAGAAGGAATTAAAGAATATCATTTTATCATTACACCTGTATGTCATTTATAACTTTTAAGAGCTATTAAGATAGTTATTATGAAACAATTGTTACTAATTCCTTCAAACCTACAATTACAGACAAGTTTCTAAACTTGGTACAGTTTCATAAATGGTGTTGGATCTGTTTTTAAACTAGGTGTAATGATGTTAATTGATGAACTTAAGAGTTGAATTTAAGAACTTGCTCCTATTTAAATGAAATATGAAGTGCTAGAAGGAACAAAAACAGAACTTTGTTTTCTATTTTACTTCAAGAATAAGATGTGAAACATTTTTGCAGCAAAATAATGAGAAAGAATAGAGAAGTCTTTCTTATGGCCTTGAATATACAAATAATTGCACCTCATTAAATTATAGGTTGAAACTTAAATGATTTCTAACTCAGCAGTAGTTAACAATATTATTTTAAGTTTAAGTATATTTTATGTTCTTAACATATCAAATAAGTATTCACTGATAAGATAAGGAGTTAAATAACAAAGTATCAATGCAAAAATAATATGTAACCTACCTCATCTTCTTTGGGTCCATCTATATTCTCTACAGTAGATTGGACCACTTTTAATGGGTCTCCAAATTCTTGTATGAGTAACTTTTTACATTTCAGATCGTGAATATAGTTGTGACATGCCATATAAGTATGTGTTGGCTTTAAAAACCTCGCACTAAACAGTATCGTCCTCAAACTTGAAGCCATGTTTCTACTATCAGCTGTCAACTCCAAACAACAGCAATTGCCGGTTTGGCAGTAGTTATCCCTTCTTCTCAAAGATGGATTTTACTTCTTTTTTTAATTTAATTGTTTCGCTACTGTAACTTTCACCCAATAAATTTACTATTGGGGCATAGGCTTATATTTACTGTTAAAATTTTACTAATCCACCTATATTTGAATTTAGTTGCTGCTCTGAAGTAAAATAATATTCTATTTTAGTTATGATAATCGAGGTCATTTCCCCACTGTATTTCTTTTATTTTTATTGAACCGGTTTTTTCTATCTAATGAATGTTTTTTTTTCTTTTCAAATATTCACAGTTATCTCTAGCAAAAACGTCAACAGCGTTTTTTTTCTAATTACTGTTTTATTTTACTCTGTGCCTTTATTTGCTGCAAATTAACAAGACATTTCGTTAACCAACTAGTCGTTTGTAAACAAATCAAACTGGTGTTTTAAGTCAATCTAGTGCAGGAGTGCCAACTTTTTTTTTCATATATATTTAAGTTTTTATTTTTGATGCAAAATATTTAAAGATTTTTACTGTAGGGTAAAAAAGCTTTGGAGTATTTTAAATATATATATATATTATATAAACTGAATTTGTGAATAAAGTTTCTAAACTCAGCGCTGAGATCACTGATAACAATCAGAAATCCATTAGATCGCTCCTAAATTCATCGATGTAACAATAAACAACTTCCCAGCTTTATACCGATTCACTTCACAACAGTTTTCGGGCTAAAGCCCCACCCAAAATTGTAAAATATAACCATATTTAATGAAAAAAATTATCTCTAAAAGTATTATTGTTCGTCTAATTACATTTAATAAGACATAAAGAATCATTTAAACACCATTTCATGTAGGTAGTTAGTATCTTTCTTTCTTCCAAAGCACTAGCGGATCCAGGATTTATTTTTGGGAGGGGCTTCAGCCCGAAAGTTTTTTTTTCATAAAAATGACGATAATTACTTTGGAAAAAAGAAAGAAACTGAAATAATGTTTAGGTGATTCCTAAAGCCCTTTTGAATTTAATTACACGAACAATAATACTTTAAGACATACTTTTTAAATATTTTTTTCGATAAAACAGGGTTATATTTTACCATTTTGAAGGGGGGCTTCAAACCGAAAGCCGCCCGTGTTTCAAAGTAATTGTAATAATATATACATTCAAAAAATGAAGCTCCCTCCTCCTAAATTAAATCCTGGATCCGTTAGTGATAGGTAGTTAAGTAGGGTAGAGGTTTTAGGGCCATAAATTTCTAGATTATTACGCTTGAAAATTTGATAGGTCTTGCTTCTCATAGAAATATTTTTGTTGTACTACTGCAGTTTTGTTTGTGATTGTACATTTGTCCCAATGGATCATTTCAAAATTTCGGTCACATTTATGTCACAGGACAATAATAGGTTCAAATCACCACTGATAGCAGTTCAATATTTTTTTCTTAGAATCTATCTATTTAGTAGCATACTTCCCATTTATAGTTGGTAAAATTTATAATTATATGACTCAGTTAAAAATATAGAAATACTGATTTCTCATTTCCTAGTGCTATCACACCCAGTGGTACCCATATATTAAGCTGTACTATTTTATGAGGGCGGGAGGGCTCTAAATCAAAGGCTGTTGAAAAATGATATGATCGCTAATTTCGATATTCACTTTTATTATATATATAAAAAAAAATATTGATTAATTCGTTCCACCTAATCGATTCATGAGTATCAGTGGTATAAAACTCAATCCCTAAAAAATGTTTAGAAGTTTGGCAAAACGAAGCGTAATTAGAAATTTTGTACTGATTAGAGTTCAGTGGCAACACTGCTTCAAGATCCTCTCTTCTAATCTATTTCCATTGTAGTGAAATGCATCAGTTTTTCAACGAAGGTAAATCACTTTTAATTAAAGTTTATTCACAGAGTTTTGCATCATTCATATAGTCATTTTAAACTAGCAATAAAGATGAAGCAAAGAGGTGTATTTAAACACTAGAGAAGTTATGGGAAACACAATTGGCTAACTTAATTAATGGCGACATTAGCGCTAAGCACAGATTTTTTACTTTCACTTACCTATATATGTACTATATAGTAAGGGAAAGTATTAGGATCGTGAAATTTTTTTTTAAATTTCTCTCGTCACCGACAGTAGATGGAAAATATCAAGTATAGAGGAAAACAATTTAAATCTTTGAATTTCCCATTTTTCTAAAACCCCTACCATATGGCTATCTATCCGGTAGTTTGTGAAATGTCTAAATCCATCTTTAAATTTTTCATTGGTTTGTCCTGTTGAGAGCTTTAAATTTTCAAAATAGGAGAACTTTTTTAAAAAATAACTCAGTTACATTTTTTATGAGAAGGACTTATGTAGTTAAAAATAAATTACATTATGTTATTTTGATATCATCACATTTTAAACATTTTTAGGGTAAAACTATAATTTAAATTAGGTTATAGTGTCCAGAGAGGGGATAGGACATTTACTTCTACTCCAGTTTAACTTGGAATAGACAAAAGTTCAGTAAAAAATTGGGAAATAGCAGAAATGTTATAAGAAAATTGGATTTTCAAAATTAAATTGATAATGTTTTAAGTCTTAACATAGATTTTAATGATGATATTCATAATAAACATGTTTTAACCGCCCCTCCCTTCCAAAAGTTTAAAATAATGCTATGCCTATTACTAAGGTATGCTATCTTCTATAATAGAGTAATTGTAATATTTAAAAGTTTCTTCTTTATAGGTTCAAGAAACAAGTGTAGACTACTGCTGCTATCTTCAAGGAGCAGAGAGAATCACATCAGAGCAGCAGCAAGGTAACAATTAATTGCAACTTAAGATTGCATTATTTAGGTATATGTACAGTAGTAATAGGTCAAGGATTTAATAATGGGGCTAAATTACTATAATTATGTTTAATTATTTTTCTTATTTGATTTAGAAAAAATAAACCAGGAGTATAGTTATTTTAAGTCATTTTTAAGAATTATTCCATTTATAATTCTATTATTATTTTACTTGTTTGTTAAGGGTGTGAATTTTTGATTTTTGAATTAAAAAATATATATTTAAACTTAAATATATTGTTTGTTACATTTTTGTTCAGGATAATGTCAGATGAAATTAAATAATCAGTCATTGCCAAGTTCATATTTCCTCAATTTCATATTTATCTTGTTATTAATTTTTTTATATTATTGATTGTTTAAATGCATCCATATCAAGATATCTAAATTTATATTCACTCTCTTCTTTTTTTTTTTTTTTTCTCCCTACCTGGCATTTTTGGAATATGGAGTGGTTATCCTACAGATTAGCAATCTAGTCTAGGCAGAATGAGAAGATCGAGATTCATTCCATGATTTTGCCATGCAATATGTTTCAATCCACTCAGCTCAAATTGAACCTTAACAAATTTGGCTAACATGGGATCAAATTACCGTCTTACTTGCTAATTAAATCCTGTAATGGAATAGGAGACAAAGTATTACCAAATTAAAACAGTAATTCACTGGATAAAATACCCTGAAGAGTCGTTCCTCGGCAATAGTGCAAATATAATTTAAAGATGTCATTTAATGTTAACATTTTTTTTGTCCATGGTACAGACCCCTTTTTATCGAATTCCTGAAACTTCGTAAATAGTTTTATATCATCGTAACCTACAACTATTTTATTTGCAAAAACTCTTGGAATTGGGGCGTTTTCAATCTGGAGGGGGGCAAACTTTAATTAGGTTCTAAAAACTATATATACACATTTATTTCTACTTGGATTGTAATACAGTTTTATCACAAAATAGATAAAAAAGGTGACCTACAAAAATATTGGGCCGTTTGTCCTATATAACCTTGTTATTTTGAAACTTTGGGAGTGTAGGTCACGCCAAACGGCTCAATATTTTTGAAGGCCACCTTTTTTCTTGATTTTGTGATCAAATTATCTTACGATTCAGGTATTAATCAAATGTGTACTTACAAGTTTTTAGTACCTAATTAAATAGACAAAGTTTGCCACACTCCAGATTAAAAACGCCCCAATTCCAAGAGTTTTCGTAAATAGAATAGTTGTAGGTTACGATGAGATGAAACTATTTATGAAGTTTCAGGTGAATGTTAGTTATTTGATAAAAAGGGGTCTGTACCAGGGACTATTTGTTTTAATTTATACTTAAAAGTCCTATGATTATTTTTTTTTTTACTTACACTGATTTTAATGATAAAATGTATTTACTGATTAACATAGTTTGACAATGAAATTAAAAAAATTATCCATCAGCACTAATCTGATAGTTAGAAGTTCCGAGGCTGTTTTTCTTTTCTAAAGGCTACCAGTAACTTTTTATGAACCAGTGAATTTGAATGAGTATGGAATTAATAATCGAAGAGATGATATTAACATTAAACATGCCACATTGAGTTCATTACGAATAGTGTATTTTTTGAAGTACTGAGGAAAATTCAGGAATTGAGGAAATGTTTCAGAAGGTAGTATTAACTACTGAGTGAGAAAAAAGTTATTAATATGCCTATGATTTATAGTTATTGTTTTTCCTAATATTTTTTGTATTTCAGAGGTCAGAGACATTTCCTTGTAGATCTTCAGGGCAAGGACTCCCTCTTGTGCTGCGAGGTCAGTGGAATTCATTCTAAGCATGCTATTTGGCTCATCACTCAAACATTATATATTAAATTGTCAAGTATTCTCTTAGGAAATTCAGTTTATTAAAGTCCTTGGTACAGACCCCTTTTTATCAAATTATTAGCATCTCCCTAAAACTTTGTAAATAGCTTCATCTCATCGTAATCTAGAAATATTTTATTGACAAAAGTTCTCGGAATTGGGGCATTTTCAATCGGGAGATTGGCAAACTTTGTCTATTTAATCAAATACTAAAAACTCACGAATACCCATTTGCATCCACTTGATAATATGATAACAAAATCGAAAAAAAAAAAAAAAAACCTACAAAAATATTGGGCTGTTTAGTCTATATAACCTCGTTATTTAAACATTTTTGGGGTGGAGGTCACGCCAAACGGCCCAATATTTTGTAGGTCATCTTTTTTATTTTTTTTTTATTTTTTGATCATATTATCTTACCATTCAAGAGGAAAGTAAATGGATGTTCATGAGTTTTTAGTACCTAATCAATAGACAAAGTTTGCCGATCTGTAGATTGAAAACACCCCAATTCCGAGAATTTTTGTAAATAAA